AATCCTTGTTACTCAAGCTGTAAGCACAAGTCCCCTCTGTCCTTTCTGTTATCTTCCTTCTGATGGCTTTTGTCTGTTTTCTTCTGCATTCTGGGAGAATCCCTCAAGTTTGCGTCCACATCATTGATCTACTTTCTCAGCATCAATCCTGCCCTTTGCTGTGCACTTTATGATGATGATTTTAGTTTCCTCATCTAGGTTCTTTTATAGTTTCATTCTGTTTCCTTTCACTGTGGCCTATTGCCTACTTAGGGCTTTTTAATTTTTAGTCAAAGGTGCAATTTACTGCATTTTCCTAAACATGTGAATTTTTCTTCCCTAAAATATTTTTTTGATCCTACACTTCATTTCTAAAATCATGTTTACCCTTAGAATCTCCAGGATATTACTTCTTCTTTTCTGCAGCATTTCCCCACAAGCTTCACTCAAGCAAAGCACACTCTGCTCAGCCTTGGCATCTGTCAGCTGATGGAAGGCAGTTACCTCGCTTGGGTGGTGCCCGACGCCAAACTCAGCTATTGCCTGGGCTGGTCAGTGCACCCAGCTCCTGGTTAACTGCCACAAGCAGGCTTGCAGCTGGTGTACTGTGCTCTTAAGCTACTACATATTTACTCAACAGCCAAAAATCACATTGTAGTCACCTGCTCAGTTACTGCAGCTGGCTAAGGCCTGTACTCCAGATGCTGACTCCTGGGAGAGGCGGGAATACATACGTGAGTAAGTGCAGTCCACACCCTTGGTGCTTCTGGAAGCTTGGGAAAGACGAGGATACTCAGGAAGTGTTCATCTACCTGTAAGAGCAGTAACAGTTTCATAGCAGTGGCACTGCATGAACTAAATCTTGAAGGAGTCCCAAGAGGGAGGCTGAGTGTCTTGGAAGAGTGGACCTCATCTCACAGCATGGAAGCACTACTTTGAGGCCAGGGTCTTCAGGGCAGTGGCTGGCAGGTGGACAGGGGCCCAGTGACAATGGGCTCTGTATGCCAGGCACAGGAATGCTTATTCTGAAGGCAAGAAGAAGAGGTGGAATGGTCAAAGGTGTTTCAGAAACCTCTACGGCAGTAAAGTGGAGAGGATGTGGGTGGGGAGGCCATCCCCACGGGTTTTAGTCTCACCTGGATATCTCGCCAGCTCTTCCACATCCCACTGCCCTTCCTACAATGACCATGGTTTCTGTCACATGCCACTGTGACTGGTGTGGCAGAGCACACGGTCATGTGAGTGGGATCCACGAAGTCACTGGGCTCCACCTGTGTCTTCTGGTCTATCTGGGGCTCCTTGCCACAGCACTCCCCAGGGATACAGGTTTTCTCTTTTCAGACTAACTTGAGGCGGAAACCTCTCAGGAATAGGAAAGGAGACTACTGACCCACAGGGCCGCACCAGCTGCAGCTCCTCCACCTCACCATGGTTAGGAGAGGGCAGAAGGACACAGGTGAACGGGGTCACTGAGGTTGGAAGACATATTTTTAGAAAGGGATATCTGGTAATATCAATGACTGGTTTGACACAAAGTAATCTTTCAACATTAGGCATCAGGGATGACATAGGAGTGATGAGCTGCTAGGAACATCATGAAGTTGGACACTGAGGTGATGAAAAACCAACACTGAAAAATACAACAAATACAGACAGAGGAGGCCTTGTAGGCCACAAGAGCATCACCTGGGCATCACCTAGATTATCAGAGAAGGGGAAACACCCATACATGAACTGTGGACCAGAGGCCCAAGGAAGAGACTAAATGGAAGTGCTAAGTCACTACGGCTACTATGTAAGTCTCTCCTGGTTACTGGTGCCCCCCTGACAAGTATTTACCCCAGTCGGCTGTGCATGGAGGCCCTGTTCACAGGCGTTCTCTTCCCCAGCACAAGGAACTATTGGGGCAGGCACTGTCATTTCCAGTTGGCCCTGGCATAAGCTTTTTTTTAAAAAAAAGCAGTGAATTTACTGGAAGAACTCTGGCTCTGTGAATTTGCCAATGAGAATCAACAAGGCCTAAGCTGAATTTTTTGAAGAGATCATTCAGTTCTTCATCTACCTGTGTGAACAAACAGGTATTTTAACAATGCAGGATCCCCAAATGCTCCCATCAGTGGGTTTCTTGAAGAAGTTTATTTTTTCAAACCACAATTCTTTCAATAAATAAATTTCTGTAACCCATGGAAACCTGGGGTAAGAGAGGTGGCGTAGACAGGTGACATAGACGCCTCTGAACCAGCCCCTCTCAGCTGTTCAATATTTTTTATTTTAGGCAGGGCTATAGGAGGGAGGAAAGAGGGGAGTGACAGTTTTCTCATTTTTCAAATTATTCTTTGGCAAAGAACGAGTTAAACATTTTACTAAGACTATGTATCAACACTTTACTAGACTTATTTTATGAATAGTGAATGTGTAGCAAACTTGAATTTCCAAAGTGAAACATATGGATGAAAGTGAAAGCTGGGTGGGGTGGCTCACATCTGTAATCCCAGCACTTTGGGAGGCCAAGGCGGGCGGACTGCTTGAGCTCTGGAGTTTGGGACCAGCCTGGCTAACATGGTAAAACCCCATCTCTACCAAAAATACAAAAAATTAGCTGGGAATGGTGGCAAAAGCCTGTGGTCCCAGCTACTTGGGAGGTTGAGGTGGGAGGATTGCTTGAGCCCAGGAGGTGGAGGTTGCAGTAAGCTAAGATTACACCACTATACTCTAGCTCCAGCCCGGGTGACAGAGTGAGGTCCCATCTCAAAAAAAGAAAAAAAGAAAGTGAAAACAATCCTGAATTGATGGTTTACATCTTCTTGTTGGAATTCTTACATGAAAAAAACACAATCTGCTTGATTTGATTATTGGCAAAAAGGGTGATGTTAACAGGAATATGAGACTTATTTTGAAAATCTCTGAGGGAATAAGAAGGTTCTACTTAACAAAGGTAAATCAGAATGCACCAGTAGTGCCGTGGGTTTTACAGAAGAAACTGGAACTGATTTTCCACAGCAGTTCTTTAAGTAAGTGGGGGTGGGGAGTGGCAGCAGAGCAACCCCAGGAACAGCAAGTGGGGTTTGTTCACTGCAGACTGTGACAGATTTTTGTGATCACCACCGCCTGGGAGTATGCCCTCTGGGATTTTTTTTTTTTTTGGGGGGGTCTAGAATCCAGCAGAAGGGCTATTCAATCTTTCTGCTGCCATAAGAAAAAAAACATGCTGGGCCTATCACCAGATGGCCTCTGAATGGGCTAGGACTCTGCTGAGACTGGCCTAGCTATGAACACTGTTGTGTTCTACACCCCACAAGGTCTTTCCAGACAAGTGTGCAAGTAACTAGAGACAGAGGAAAATACGCACAGGTGCTTTGAATCATGTGAACAGCCAAATACTAAGGTACATGATCCTTTAAAAGAACAGACATTCACAATGTTTTAGCTCCTGAGCAGCCTCTCAGGCCTCCCGTGCTTGGAGATGAGGGCAGGTGAAGACAACCCTAACCCAAGACACCGGCTCCCTGTGGTCTGTGCTCTGCAAATAAAGCTGGTGGAAACACCACAGACGACGAGTCGTGGGAGAAAAGGCGAGGGGCACAGCTGAGATCCATTTTCAATATCTGAGTAATACTCTTGCCTTGGCTCCTTAGTACAAAGACTGCAAAGGGCTGGTCACCTGCTGGTGGTTATTTAGGGGAAGATCAGAGGTAAGATGTGAGCCTTCTTCTGAGAGGCTTACCCTGGAAGTGTTTCCTTCTAGGAGTGCTTGAAAAATATATAGCTTACGCATCAAATTCTAAGCAATAGTCATAAGGACCCTCTGGAGTCCAGCCAAGAACCAGGATTCAGGAAGCAAAGGTTCTGGATGTCCAACTGGATATCAGAGCTTCCCAAGAGCTTCAGTTCCCCAAGGGCCTGCCCACTCCCACCTATTTCCAGGACTGCTCTTTTGGCCAAGTCTAGGGATTCCCATTCCCTGACAGATCAGAAATCACCAACTAGTACCTGGTTGGTTGGGGGCATATGCGTTGGAGCCAGAAATGTGACTTTGGCCTGTGAAAGAGGGAGGGGAATGCCAAGAAGTCAAAAAGTCTGGAAGGAAACCAGGTCCCACAGTCACCCAACAGATCCCAAGGGCCCCACCGGCCAAGCACCCAGGACAACACCAGCTACTTACTGTGATGGGCCGCATCTGAGTGTGCTCCTAAGATGGGATGTGTGTGCAAAATATTTCTAGGGGATTTCCACTAGACAGAATGGGATGATTCAGTTATCTGGACATTTTAAAAGAATTGCTTAATCCCTGATAACGAGCAAAGTGATTTTCTACTGTGCAGATACTCTGATGTTAGAATAACTGATATTACCACTTTCAGTGTGGTCCAGAGGGCACATTGTCTTTCACGTACACTGCATAAATGTTTCCACTGGACAGCAGGCACTGGCATTTCTCCCACAGAAGTGCTCTTCTGAAAAGTCCTGCATCAACACTTGCACCACCAGCCGGGGAACTCCAGGGAGCCTGAGCAACTACTATGGGATGTGCCCTGCCTTGGGCCTGGGAATGGCACCAGGCAGAGAACCTTATTTCCTGGGTCACAGGAGGCAGGAATTAGCTGCTGGCCTCCTGCCCTGACTAGAGAGGATGCCTAGTGCTCAGCCGGCAAGTTCCTCTGACACTAGGCAGAGGACAAGTGTGAAGCTGCAGTACCTCCCTCTCCTAGGCCCTGAGAGGCGAGGATTAATGTGTCTCCTGGAAAAGCCCCGAGTTCCTGAGATGCCATCATTCTCTTTATCTAATCTCACCCTTCCTGCTCTGTGTGGCCCGTTAGCCAGGGGCCACCCTCAAGTCTAATGGATGCAAAGACAAAGCAAGGCCTACATTCCTCACCTGCTGGGTCTCCGTGACAGAATCTCTGTGACTCAGAGATTCTATAAATTAAGAAAAACAAACTAAACCCAGTAGATGGCAGACAGGGGAATCTAGAGGTCTAAGGAAGCTGGCAGTTAAATCTGAGCGTTAGGCAGGCAGCAAATGAAACTAGACAGACATTTATTTTGCGTTTGATTTCACTGGTTCAAATGTCTACATGCTGGAGTAAATCCACTTGCCTCTCTTCAGGGCTCTTCCTCTGCAGTACATTGACCTGGCCGAGGATAGCATATGCCACTGTTGACTCTTGGTCCTCCAAGGCCTAGGAGGCTCACCCCACAGGCAGGGCCTGGAGCCATAGCAAACTCAGAAGAAGGCCATAGGTACAGTCTCAGTGACATCAGACATTAGGCTGATTCCTGAGGCATCGCTCCTGTCTCCCAGGACAGCAGGGTCTGATGCTCTGGTAAGTAGCTACCAGGTCACAATCACATGACCACTGCAGAAACATCAACCCCAGCTGGTCCAGGTTCCAGCCAGTTTCCTCTGGGCAGCATGTTACAATGGGCTCCCTGCCTTTTTGTTTTGGTCATCCAAATCTAGCTTCAAAGGGCTCCAAAACGTCCTCGCCACATCTGGACCTGAAAGCAAGAGCTGATTTTTAAGAGTGAGATTCTCATTGCATTTGGACAAAATGAATAATGTGCCTTTCATATTTTCTTTGTATTTCTCTTCAATAGTTGCTTGACCCAACATCTTTCTGTCTGCTCTATACAATGAAAATACAAACTAAATGAGAATAGAAAAAATAATTAAAGCATTAAATTGTACAAATTACAAATCTGTTCCAAAATATACTTACATTAAATAAAATACGCATTTCAATAAGAGATCTACAGTGAATGACTATGCATTCTGGGAAGCTTCACAACATCTAGGCAGGGCCAACATTCGTGAAAAAGCTAAGAGATTTTGCATCCAATCACAGTTTGTAGCGGGTATCTTATTGCCAATCTGCAAGTTACACTGAACACATCATTAGCATCGCTTGTGCAGAAAACCAATTTTGTTTGGGAAAAGGGAAAGCAAGCTCTGGCCTCAATTTTGAGTTCATTACAACTTCTTAAAAATTTCACCAACAGCCTATACAGTACAAGTTCAAAAAAGTAAACATGTTAAGGTAAGCAGACAACTCTTCAGAAGCCCAAACACATTTTCTTGCTGTATTTATGTTGAATTCTCCATCTACAATGAGCAGTCATGAAGATGGTCTTCTTCAGGGCAACATGGTCACAGGACTGGGGCAATCCAGGGGACTGAGAGGGAGCATGAGGACGGGAGAGGGGGCTACCTCTTGCTGTTTCACGTTAGAGACAAACTGTAACACAGTCCATGGGCCTGCAATCGTCCCCTTTTATCATCTGGCATAACGCTTGATGTAGTCGTCCACTTTATTCCGGAAGTCCTCCTGTGTAGTAAGAGCATTGGGGACAGAAAGAAGAACAGGAGTGAGTGAGTGAGTGAGGAAAGCAGCGCTTCAGGGACAAGTCAGATCCACCAGCACCAAGGCCCCCTGTGGTCGCCAAGGTGGTAGAAGGACTGGGACCTTGCGGAGTCTGAGTGCCATTTGCCACGACCTAGGTGCCTACTGCATGCAAGACACAGTGCTGGGTGTGCTGAGCAGGGGAGCATGCGGAAGGCCTGAGTGGGAGGGACCCTCAGGGGGCACCTATCCCTCCTCATTTCCAGACGGGGAAAGTGGAGCCCAGAAAAGTGTGGTCAAGGTCACAAAGCCAAGACTTCTTTGGCCACAATGGGTCTCAGCCACAGCTACTGCTCTCAGGAAGACCCTTGTTTCTGTATTTGTCTTGCTAGAATGATTTCCCTGGATGCTGCTACCTATTTAAAATGTGCCTGCTCTTCACAGCCCATGTACAGCCCCCCATCTCTTCTGGGCAGGATGACTACACCCTGCCCAGAAGAGAGCTGGGTGTGCCACAGAGCTCCATCCTCATGCATTGAAGTGCAGGTGGCCAGTGACCAAAGGCGGTGTGGACCTAGGAATCACCCCAGGCCAGTATGGGTGGAACAATCTCAGATCTGGGCCACTGTCAAGTTTATCCCTGGATCTGGTATCCCCAAGGTTACGAGTAAAATCCCATGGGATTGTATGAGCCATAAGAGTGACTTGGAGCTCTTAACCCTCTCACTCCTACAACACAGCTGCTGGGTCTCAGATGTCCCCGCAGGATCACACTGCTTCAGTCACATCAATGCCATGCAGCCCCCACTGCACAGGGAACACAGCACAGTTACCACAGTTCTTAGTGGGCATGAGTTCCATTTCCTTAGCTAAGCCTCAGTCCTCCTGTCTAAGCCTCAGTCTAGCCTCTTTGCTGATTCCACTGCATAATCCCGACACCTGGCAACGTGCAGGGCGCACCCAGGTACTCGGTGTATACCTCGCTGCTGCCACGATGCCCTCTCGCAGGGGAGACCCTGCCTGGAGCATGGTCCTGGCCAGCTGGGCACCAGGTGCCTGCCCTCCTGCCACACCCTTAATTAGCACAGCGACCCTTTCCAGGGCCGGCAAGTTCCCAATTTGAAGCTATGGATATGGTCCCATATTTTCTCTGGTCTCAGGGTGAGAAAGTGGAGTGCTCTGAGTCTACCCAGGTGCCTCTGCCCTGCCAACTTCCCTATTTGTCTACAGGATGGCGTTTGGAGCCTCCCACATGGGCCTTCACCCTGCAACAAAGGGGAGCTGTGCAGAAACCCTACCTGCCCTTTTATAAAACCTTCACAAGGCCATTTCCACAGTCCCCAGAGCCAGACAATACTGTCAGCTCACAAGGACCCTGCAAAAGCTTACAGGATGTAAAATGAAGATCCCATAAATGTCCTGCCTCTCCATGTTTTGGAGGACAAAAGACGCCATGTACTCTTAGTTGCCCTGTTCACCTCACCCAGCATAGAGCCCAGCATCCATGCCTGCAGCAGGCCCCATGCTCCAGCCTCTGCTGCCTCCCTCCTCCTCTTCTACTGCAAGGGACACAAAGCACAGGGCCCAAGTGAAAACCACAGACTCTGGAGCCACACAGAGGAGGATCCAAGTCCTGGGCTCTGCCTCCGACAGGCTACTCAACCATGGCGAATCTCAGCTTCTTGGCAGCTGTGTCCTCAGCAGCAAAACAGGGATCATAATGGTATCCGGCCCAAGGGGCTGTTGTGAGAAACAAGTGCACTCTGTGTCAAGTGCATGGAAGCGCGCCCGGCTCCTACTATTCCATTCCTCTCACCTGCGCCAGTCATAATGGCCTCTTTTCTCTGCCCTGACCTCTGCAGCACGTTCCTGCCTCAGGGGCTTTGCACTAGCAGCCAAGGTTTTCTGGAGCGCTCCTCTCTCACCACCCGGCCCTCTGTGGCCCGCTCTCCACCTCACATGCTATGTTTGTTCACCTATTTTTTTTCATTTTAATTTTCATCATTTTTTTTTTTTTTTGAGAGGGAGTTTCGCCCTTTTTGCCCAGGCAGGCGTGCAATGGTGCAATCTCAGTTCACTGCAACCTGCGCCTCCTGGGTTCAAGCGATTCTCCTGACTCAGTCTCCCAAGTAGCTGGAATTACAGGTGCCTGCCACCACGCCTGGCTAATTTTTGTATTTTTACTAGAGACGGGGTTTCACCACGTTGGCCAGGCTGGTGTTGAACTCCTGACCTCAGGTGATCTGCCCACCTTGGCTTCCCAAAGTGCTGAGATTACAGGCGTGAGCCACTGCATCTGGCCGTGTTTGTTTGCCTATGCTCCGCGTCCTCCTGCTGGAATGTGTGCGCCACAGGGACAGGGACTGTCATTCCCAGTCATCCCGAGCACTTCGCACCTCCCCTGGCATGTAAGTGGCCACCAGCCAAACAGGTGATGAACGAGTGGACATAAGGAAGCGGCGCTCAACAACTGTGACTATTACTCCGCATGAAGACGTGGGTGGGGCTGCGGCACTGCTTAGGCTTCATGTGGAGGCATCACTGGAGATATTAGGTCCATTTTACTGGGGCTAAAAGTGTATCAGTTGCAAAGTCTTATTTCATACAAATCAGGAATATGAAATCTTATTTCATACAAAGAAAGGTAAAATGGAAGACATCTCTCCACCTGGAGCTGTGGGAGTGCCCCTATTGCCATCACTTTCTATCTGACAAGGCTTGGTCCACAAGGGCTAGTCATCGCCAGCAACAGCAGACAGGAGTGCAGCCACGAATGCCTGCAAGGGGTGGGCCAAGGGGCACATTTGCCCAGGGCTTGTCAGTGCAGTACCAAGCCTAAGGCTTTGCTAGACAACACAAGCCCATCAGAACCACTGACGGACGGCAGGAGTCAGGGACTGACTGCTCTCATGGGGAGCTGTGGGCACAGGGCTGCCTTACACCACTGTTATTTCTCTTGAGGACCCCTGCTGCCCCAGCCCTCAAGACAGAGCTCGCCTCCTCGGCAGAACACTAGCCTCAGTAGATGGTCTGCTCTGCCCGCCTGCTTGCACTGCACCACTCCCTGTGCCCACTGTGCCTGCCACTTGTTTTGTGAGTCTCAGCAGAATGCATGCTGGGTGGCACTTCTCTCGCCTCCCTGTCGGAGGTGCTCCTGCCCACTCTTTGGGGCCGTGGTCAGGCAGCACCTCCTGGTCTGAACTTAGGCTCAAGACTGTAGCAAGGACTTGGCAGGGCACATTTCAAATGCCCTATTCGGTCGTGCCACATAGTAGGTCTAACTAACATTAACGGAAGCCAAGGCGCTGAACATTCTGCACAATGTCTAGAACTAGCTAGAGGGGTTTTAGAATGGTGTTCAAAGCTACATCAGGTCGGGTGCAGTAATCCCAGCATTTTGGGAGGCTGAGGCGGGTGGGTCGCTTGAGGCCAGGAGTTTGAGACCAGCATGGGCAACATGGTAAAACCCTGTTTCTACTACTAAGAATACAAAAATTAGCCCAGTGTGGTGGCGCACGCCCATAGTCCCAGATACTCGGGAGGCTGAGGCACAAGAATTGCTTGAACCTGGGAGATGGAGGTTGCATCTGGAGATAGAGGTGAGCCAAGATTGCACCACTGCACACTCCAGCCTGGGCAACAGACTCTGTTTCAAAAAAAAAAAAAAAAAAAATTGAAGAAGGCAGTACATTCACATGGTTCAAAATTCCAAAGTCACAGAAAAGTAGAGCAAGAATTGCTTGAACCTGGGAGATGGAGGTTGCATCTGGAGATAGAGGTGAGCCAAGATTGCACCACTGCACACTCCAGCCTGGGCAACAGACT